TTACCATTCTACAAGAAATAATGACAGTTGAAATCTCTAAAAAATTCCAGTTCATTAGCACAACGAATATGATATTTTGGTAGCCAGCCTAAAAAGCTTTTTCAAACATCAATGTGCAGAAATGCAATTTAATAAACGTACCTATATTAAAACAATTCTCATGATAAAATATATCATTTTTAGAAAGAATTTGGTCTAAATGTGTGGTTGCAAAATATCGTTACGAAAATTGTAAACAAAAATATTTCACCGACAGTGTAACAGAAGCATATATATGAAGTTACAAAAACCACAATGAAAAGGTGATCGTTTCAAGAAAATATACGGGAAGCAGTTACGGAAAATTAGAGAATCAGTCTTTGTCTGTAAAGTAAATAAATGATCTCGGAAATAAGACTTTCACGCTAACAAATTATCGGGGCAATGTGATAATGTAATAATAAGTTGCATAAATTTTGAGCTTTAAGTATTTAAACAAAATGCGGTGAAATATTAACACGTAAAAGAATTTCGTTAGATGATTAAAGGAGGACCGATTAAGAATAGAAATTTTCATTTTCCAATCAGATAGATCTTTACCCAGAAACAAACTGAAGTAAATACCATCGAAAACGGAAAATGGAGGATGAAAGCAATAATGAGCTGGACAGAAATATATACATGAGAAAAGCCATTAACTAAATTTTTATTCATCCCAGTTAATCCACCCATCGCTCTTGCTAGATGAGTTATTTGAATCAGCTTTCGGCGTCCGCGGGCCATCTTCATCATGCAATTCCTACAGTATCAAATATAAGGTCATATATTTAAAGCTGAAAAAAAAAAGAAAAAGTTTAAAAGTGATGAAAATAACGATAGCGAAGACGAATTTCCATACATACATACATACATATGTATATATATATATTAATAGATAAAATGGTTGTGGTACCTGTAGGTCAACATTGGTACTAGAACACAAGCTCCAGCTTTCGTCTATTGCTGATTGCCTGTCTGGACTATTCTGACTTTGTGTCGGCTCTGTATCTACACTAATACAACTCTCACTTCTATCGGAACCTGTAAGAAAGATTTAAAATAACAAAAAAGTAGGAAAATCCTAATTTTTTTTATTCACATACTGGAAATATGTTAAATATACATATCGGGCTATTCCCATTAATGGATAATATCAAAAGGAAGAATATGCACTATTCAGGAATAGTTTAATCTTAACAACGAATAAGTGATGTAAGGAAATACAATTTTATTAAACATTCTGTAATTAGGAAACTAACATAAATTTTTTTGTCCGAAATCTATCGTTCGCTTTTGGGCTTGTATGATTTGATTTTCATCCTTTTGTAATAGTTGTTTTTCGGCATCAACTTTACACCGAACCAGCAATTCCATCTGATAAATTTTGTAGAAGTACCTCGCCCAAAAAACTACGTTCTCAATCTTTTCAGGCACCTTAATTTTTCATATTAATTCCTTCAATTATTTAATTTAACTAAAAGGAATGCGATATGAATCACTCTAAAATATTTTCCATGACTATTTCGCCAGTGTTTTTCCAAGATAAATAAGCGATCATGTTTCCCTTCACTAAGTAAATTATCACCAGTATAAAGTGCCCCTATCTATTCAAAATAATAACTTCACGTATTATACAAATTACGTATAAATTATGGGAAATTCCTCAGTCGGGACTTGACATCAGACTGTTCAAACTATTACGAACAGAAAATGCATTCCTGTAATTACCATTTCTTGATACAAAGCTCTCATTCGAGGACAGTTAGCAAGCAACGCACTGATTTCCCTATCATATTCAGTCAACTTGAATTCATCGCACCACATTTTGAATAATTCCTTATCACCTTCTGGAATTTTCATGTATGTCTCTGGATTCGTTTGAATTTCATACAGGATATGCTGCAAGACTGGCAACTTATTAAAAGATAAAATAACAATTTGAATTAATTGAAATTCATAGATTTCTTTTCATCAGTTGCTGTTCAAATGGAAGTTTATCCCTTTTCAGACACAAACATTTTAAAGCGTACTAAAACGCAAACTAAGTTCATAAAATATGAACTAATATGCAGTATTCATCGTAAGATAGAGAAACTGCTTACAATGATAGCTATCTTAAAACTTTGAACAAAAATTTCACTATTGTTAAATTTTTATAAACTCGGAAAGTTCTCAAAAATTACATGCGGCAAATCGCTTCTGCTTATGGATTTCATCTGTGGATAAATGCTTTCTGTGAATTCATCCTCGCCCTGAGCCGTATTTTCCTGCGCAATATTTTTCATTGTATCAACTATTGCTTTGATCCACGAATTATCTGTTATAGTTGATACTGAAGGTAGCTTTGATATCCATCCAACAGATGTCGAGCTCGACTGTTCAGTCTAAAGAAAGAGCTGCTTCATGAACCAGGATTAAAATTAACAAACTGCGAATTCATTTCAAAACTCGATGCTCAACGATCAATTAATGTTAAGAATGGTATTTATTATAAAAACAAAATATTTAGATTTATATCCGTAGCAGCAGATAAAGTACTTACTGAAAAGATCATTAATAATCAAAACAAAACGAAACCTGACTCAGTTAAGCAAAAACTTATAAAATTGTAGCAAAAAAAGTCACGATTTTCTCAATTGTACTTTGCAAAGACCACACTTGCAACTAAGAACTAACTTCATTTGCGTTACTTTCCATTTTTTTGCTCTCTTCTTTATTCTGCTTATCATTCTCTTCTTCCAAGTTAATAATCTGATGTAAATTGTACGCCTGCTGTTTAACACTTTCAACAGTAGTACTTGCTAATGCACTTGCTTCACTAGCTACCACATCACTCAACTCAGTGAGATCCTTCTTAACCAATTCGAATGTCGTATAAGTCTGAAAAAAACCATCAACAATTGAATAAAGTAAGCTCTCTCTTCATCATTGTTTTGAAACGAAAGTTTTCTCAGACAACCCTTCTAATCTTATATTTAGCGATATCAGTTATATGTAATATGAGAATTTGAAAATAAGATCAGAACAAGAAGTTCGAACAGTTATACTAATCTTGTAGCTTCTCAGTTAAACGAAGAATCAATGAATTACTTATCCATTACGTTTATTTTGATTTAACACAATGAAAATGCAAAATTCGCTAGAAAAGAGATTCAGCAGTATAAAATCAAGGACATTTTTTAAAAAAGTTGAAAAAAGTTGGCATGTGAATAATCTATAAGGTAATACCGTACAATTTTACATTACTATGGAAGAAAATATTTTCTTCATTGCTCACAAAATTGCACGAATATAGGGTAATCAGGGCATTCTTTGGTACTCACCTTGCTCTTTCCTGACATGATAACGATAATAACAATATGAATCAAATAAATTAAATGAACGAAATATATTACCTTTTCTTTAGCGGATCGAAACCAAGCCGAACCCGTGGTAACCCATCCTTGGAACGAATCCATATTTCTCTCCACTTCTTCCTTCTTACCATCAATGGGACGCCTGTCACTTGTTACTGTTCCCACTTCTGCTGTATTTTCAATACTCTTCATTTTATCATACTAAAATGTTCTCATTTTCAAAAATTAAAATTAAGAAATTAGAAAATCAAAAATCAAAATCAGAAATCAAAATCTTAGTTGCCCAATAAGTAAAGTTAAAATTTGAAAATTAAAAAAAAAACACGTAAATACGAATCTAATAGAAAACTCCACCCGTAAACTAAATAAACAACTCACAGTCATTTTACTTTCAGCAGTGTCGAATAAACACGGCTATCTCATGCAACTTATTTGTCCAAAAAAAGTTGAGAATTGATTTTAAATTTTGCTTTGATTAAATCAAGCAACGTAGCTACTTAGATATCTATTGACCTGCGGAAAAATTTAACAGTAGCATGAACTGTCTACATATTTTATTTCAGACTGTCATCTTACCTGTTCCTTTTCTTTTCATGCTTTCCATACAGTTACATATGGATTCGTGCAAACTTAACTATGTTGTATTGTGCCGATACTGTTTGTTGGCGCATTTGATCAAAGCTTATTTTGAAATTTAAAATTTAATCCTTCACTTTGTGTATTCATTAGTTTTTTTCCCACATAAATCCTCGTTCGTATTATGATTATGTGAATGGTATTATATCAATCAATTAATTTCATCACTTATTTGAGTTCTCATATGTTTCGTATTTTTTCACGACATACATGAAATAAGACAGATATATGCGCTCATGATATACTGTTACCAATCGTAAGCTTTAATTTAAAGATATTCACTTATTTAAATTTAAAATGAATTACACCAATTTTTCATTCTTTAACATACGATGATTAGATCGGATATTCATTCATTTACTTTCTCCCCAACTTTTTGATGGTCCCTCAAAAAGAGAAAAGAAACTGTGATAGTTCCGAACTTGGAATAGGTTATAGGTGAGAAATGTTCAATAATTTCAGAGTTATATTGATGACATTAGAAAGTATGTTTCGACAGATAGCTATTGTCCATCCATTTTATTTTTAGTAAAAATGTACATATAATATAAATTACTGATCATCTTTTTCTCTAAATTCCATTTTTAAAATACAAATTCGAGAAGTATTTTCCACTTTATTTGGTTGCTGATAGAATATTGTTAATAGTATAACTTTTCCTTAGATATAACTGTGTTAATAATCTATCGATAATTATGAATAAAGAAATCCTCTATATTGTATTGTGTTCAAAGGTCAAACTCTTGCTAGAATTATTATACTGAAGATCGTGCGGCTCCCGCTTTTTCTTCTGCGTTTGGATCGAAAAAAATTATTATGGATATATACATATGCATATCCAAAAATAGATGAATAAAACTGCAAATTTCCGAAGAAGCATATTGTAGGAGGTTATATGGATTTTATTCGATTTTTTACTTTTTCGCATCCATTTTTTGTTGGTCTTCGAAAAAATTTTCGAATCATTAATTAATTCTTATATGAGCAGTGCGTTCAAAAATTTGAGAAGTGATTCGGAGCAGAAGCTAATTGGACGGAATAAGTCATTGATATCAATTTAGGAGCCTGAAAATATCATTTAAGCAGCTTAAAGAGGTTTGTCAAAGTGTTGTTTTATGTATGCAACAAATTGATTTGTTTCATTAGTTTACATTAATTAATTTCATTAATATTTTAATAAAATTAAAGAACTGTCAAATGGAAAGTAATACAAAATTTTTATGATCAGTTAATAGGATATGATAGAAAGCTCGACATTCAGTTCGTATCGATCAAAGCGCTTGTTTAGTTCTTTTTCTGCGTTCCATCGATTGATTTTGTAGTGTTGTGTTAAATTGAAATTACAGATTAAGAGTTGAGATCGATAAGTTTGATCATTTCCATCCGATATAGCTAAAACATCCGTTCAAGAATTATCGGCAACTATCTGAATTGTTTGATTGCATTAATGTCATTATGAGTGATAAGGGTGACACAAAAATATCACGAATTCGACGAAAGCGATTTATATGGAATTGGTTAGAAAGAATCATAACAAATTTTTGTATGTGCATATATTTTTTATAACTTTCCTTAATCAGAAATTTAAGAAATCAATTTTGAACTTAAACGACTTCATTTCGTTTCTTTTGAGCATACATACACGATCTCTTCGAAATGTACATTTTAGACTACAAAATCTTTAGGAAACTTTCATTCAGTTTTCTGACTGTCATTTTTTGGATGGACAATTTTCCAAAAACAAAATAATGTGTTTGTTGCACTGATAAATAAACGATTTTCTATTTATAACAATCAATAAAATCATTCATATTACACCGCTCTGATCATTGATCCTGTATTGTGGTCATCAATTTCAATATAGCAGTAATCATAATAACAAAATAGAGCTGTCATGCATTAATATCATTTGATAACTTTCATCTAATATGGTTTCAATTTCTGTCAACATTTTACTGATAATATTGTTTGTTGTACAATCAAAAAATCATTTGGAGTGACTTATTATTTCCTGTTCTCCTGTGAATTTATTCACAAAAATGACAGAATGAAATTTTTTAAATTTATTTTTCTAAAATGGGCTTAAGCTTATTAATTAAAATAAAATTTATGTAAACCGAGACAGAAAGAACTCGTAGCGTCCATTTTCTTTTCATCCCATGCAAATCTGGCATTGTATGTAAATTTATTTGAGGAGATGGTTCCCGGTTTTGTTTTTATTATTACAAATTTAAATGGATCAAATGATAGAAATTTTACTATTTGAAGAGATTTCGTAGTTTTCCGTATTTTGGATTATTTCACATTGCTATCGAGTATTTATATTTTCCTTCGTCCTAAATTATTTCTCATTACTATCCAATAACTGCCACGGGATGTTATTTGCAGTATTTGTGAAAGCTTTGAATCTCTTTTTATGAATTAAACTTTCAAATTTGAATTTATGTCATTCATTTTATTAAATTTGAACCAAAAATAAAAAGAATGTGTTTATCGCATTTTTTCTTCCAAACTAACACATTGATTTGCAGGGAAATTGGGTCAGTTTTTTGGAAAGCTGTTAAAAAGAATCAAAAGGATAATCACATCTACATTTACATTCTTAACCTTCTACCCGAAGGAAAATGTTGGTAGCAGACGATATCGCTCATTGATATTTAATTTATGGCTTGTTTGAAATTATTTTCAAATGCTTCTCATAAATCTTCCCTGAAATCTTCCAGAAAACTTCAATCAGGAAAGAGAAGGAAATGAGCTTATATTTATCGAAGTCTTATTTATTTCATTCTAATGAGACTACATGTTAAGGACAATAGCCTTAACCATGAAAGAACTGAAATAGCAAACGTTGAGGAACAAAGCACTGTAGAACAGGAGACATCTATAAACGCACTTACAATTACCAAGGTTAAAGTTCATGCAAACAAGCAATCTGTCGCCATCATTAATTGTGACTATACAAAAGTAAGTTTTCAAGTTACAGTTTCCATGATGCAAGTAATAAATCACCTTATGATGAAATGAGTTGAAACAATAAAATTGAATAAAGTGAACTATGAAGATAGGTAATTTCAATTGAAATGAGTTGATTGCAGTCAGTTGGTATGATCCATAACGAAGAAATGATCAACAAACATTTAAAGGATAATTTGAGCGACTTCATCTTCAATGATAATTATTTCGAAGATAGTTGGGGTCTTCATTCAGACTTATTATTTGCAACGTACACGCATCAAATCAGTAATACATTTATATCCCCTGTAGGTATTTAATCCTCATTTCATTTATTTCAAAAGTTCTGATATCTTAATTTTACCAATGTTAAGGAAACTTAAAGGATGGATCTACTCAGTTTTCAATCTTTCATAATTTTTTTTAGTCTTTAAGAATTACAGCTGCATGCAACATTAGTGCAGAAATACCGAAACAATCTAACCATATGCTGAAAGCAGTGCATCTTGAAGATAAGTTTGTAAAATTACACTTGGTAAGGAATTGAATAAGAATTTAAATACAATAAAAAAAGGACGACAATATTTGAAGTATTCCTGACTTGTTTGTAAGTGATGGTTTTGTATTGATGATTGCAACAGCAATGCTTTCTTTAGTAATCATAAAATCAAATATTTAACGACAGATTTTTGAGAAAAATTTTAAATGAAGTTAAAAATTTCGAAATAAATGACAACGATTTAGTTGATAATACAAGTTGATCTGCATTTTAGATATGGAAAAGACATATTCATCAGAGGAATCCAATATGCTGGATCAAACTGATTACAATATGAATGGTATGTTTGTTTATCGTCTCTATTTGGTTGATTTAAATTTCTAACTTCTTTATAAGTTTATGCAATAACTATTATTTCAGAATTTAGCTTCACCAATAGTCTTTTTGAGAATGGTTAATTCAGATATTGTCGACTGATGCATAATTATCAGACTCTTTGTGATTTGTCTTCAGAATATTGCATGCCGCAGTTGTAAAAAGTGAAACATTCTAACTCACTTTTACTAATTCAGTGCTTCGATGAAATTATAACACTTTTGACGACAAAAAAACAAATATGAAATTTTGAACTTAAAAAGACTCAATCCTAATAGACGAGTTTTGGATTCTAATTTCTCGTCACTTTTAGTAGTCATATGTAATGATAGTGTATGTAAATTTCACCTTTCGTATGTATATGATTCTCAAGTTGTGAATTATGAAAATTAAATGAAAAGATAAGACTTTACAAAGTGTATTTATAAATAGCTTCAAGTATTAGCTATCAATATTCTTTTCGTTCATCAGATGACACCATTTCATTACATTTCTATAACGATGTCACAAAATTCTTACACATCATAATTATCAATTGTAACGCCTCCACTTCAGCGATTCATTTTATTATCAATTTATGGCGCAAGATTCCGCAGTCCGAAATGATCAACAAACATTTAAAGGATAATTTGAGCGACTTCATCTTCAATGATAATTATTTCGAAGATAGTTGGGGTCTTCATTCAGACTTATCCGCGAAATCATCAATTTCAAAAATAGCATCCAATAATGGATATAGAAAACAATAAATCAATCACATTCCGTTAACATACTAATTAGATGATTTTCAAATTCAGTTTAAATCAAACTGTTTCACCAATACTTGAGAAGTACCATAACATCCTCTTGAACAAAGTTATTACAATCATGGACAGCGGGGTGGTAGATTTGTTCACGCTACTTAATGTCTAAGTTTTGAAATATAACATTTTTGTCAATGCGCTCTAATAGTTGCAGCATAGTTGATTCGGAACTGAAGAAATCGGGAAAATGGTGTGTGATTAAATTCCTAATGAGAATTGTTATAAAGGATCCCAATCATCCAAAGTAACTGACTAATTTGTTAAAAAACAAATTAAAACAAGAGCTTCAAATAATGCTTCATATTTCCTCTCTCTCCTTCTCTTTCCCTCTATACTCTTTATAACATCGAAGACGATTTTCATTTGAATTATCGACTGCTACTTCATCACAGAAGGCAGATTTTGCCTAAGAAAAAATAAAATCAGCAAGCGCAAAAGTGATGAGAGATGCGATTTATTAGTGGCAGTAGAACATCATCCAGCTACCCTGTCATTACTGTTTTTTGATAAAGACAATCTTGTCAATGATGTTAAGTTGTAATTTTTATGTCATTGAATTATTTACTGTATCTACTAATCATATCGGGCCTGTGAATTTATTTTGTAATTATTTATTAATGAATTTATTTCGAATGCTGTCACGGCGCTATAAGAAAATGATTTTTCAAAAAGTCCATCCCATAAACAGCACTTTCACACTTCACTTTCCACCAAAAGCTGCACATGTTTGAAGTTACACCGAAAAGCATGTAATGAAACAATAACTACATAGAATTCCTCAAACAAATGCATTAATCTGAACAATTTAATCAAACTATAAAGAAAAATCACAGAAATGTATAATTTTCTTGTCAGACTGCTGATAATTACACTCGCTTTGTTAAAATTAAATTTCAAAAAAAAGCGGAGAACAAATGGACATTGCACCGTAAGCAGCGAGATTTTTGTTGTACAAACACATACACACACACACACACACACACACACACA